AACAACCTTTCTCTACCTTTTCTTTTGAACCTTAAAAACAAACAGGATCAAGCGTAGTGTGGGTTCACACAGGTGTGAAGAAAAGTTTGAGTCATTCAACTGACCTTGAGTGAAGTTTGATCCGGCTCACTCAAAAAGGCCGAGTAGTGTCTCAATCAAATAGAAGGTTAACCGCCGTCAAAATAAAAAATACGTGGTCCACGACTCTGCCAGTTGTGGTCCTTCCAACCAATTAACGACTCACGTCCTTCTCCACTGACCCGAACAGGCCAAGGTTGGACCCACTGAAAGGACTCAAGTGAGATAACCCTCGAAGAGGGTGCTCTCAAAAACAAGTCCCATGTGGTCCCAATGTCTCGGACGGCCCCAATGCAGTCCCAACTGCACTACCATGGACTGTCTCAAATCAAATCACAATCCAAACCACAAGCTGCGCTCCTTTTTTTATTTTGGGTTTGGGTGTCTTGCACTTCTATTTAGTATGTATGATGAACTTCAATAAAAATACGCTTTGGATGCAAAAAAAGCCAATCAAAATTGATGAAAATAAGAAAAATGCTTATTAAGAAAAAAACACAACATATTGAAAAAAGATTTCCGTATACTATTTTGTTTCATTGTAGTGGTTTGACTAGCACCTTCCATCATCGCGTCCCACTTGGAGTAGTTCCAAATGTGGGAGCAGCAACCTGCATACGCCCCAAAATCACGAACCTTGAGTTGGTTCCAGCTGGTCCCAAAATGGTCCGAGGTAGTCCCACACTATTGTCGCGGCACCGGACGGTTCCAAAACGTCAAAACACTTGCACCACACACTCCAAAAAATAAAGGTGGCCCTTGGTGAAAAACCGCAAGTGCCGCAAGCCCCCTATGACCACCGCTGCGTGCACTCACTCCAAGTAGTTCAGCTGGTCCCCGCTCCAAATTGCATGGTCCCAAATGTGCACCAGTGCCAGTCCCACCTCTAGACCACACTGAAATCCGCCATAATCAGCACATACCGCAAAATAATAAACAACAGTGAGACCACCGCTCGCTGCGCCATCAAAACTGGTATCACGGCTGCCCCACACCACCACTGCCTGGCCACACACCAAAATGACGGGTTCACTGCGCCGCAAAATATCGGCAGCACTTCCCCTCAAAATAGTGCTCTCGATGCACCAAAATTTCGCAGCACGACCCCACTGAAAATGTTGCCTTTGCTGCACCTCCGAATGGGCAGCACTTCCCTTCCAACGCTTCTAGTGCACCGAAATTTTTTTGCACCATGACCCATCAGATCTTCCGTCGTTGCCGCGCCGCAAATCGGACAGCACCTCCCCATACACACACCAATGTTGACACTGATGCTGACGCCTCACCGGAAAATCCGGTGACACCTCCCTTCAAAATGTTGTGTCGCTGCTGAAAAATCCGGCAGCATAACCCCATTGAGAGTGCCGCCTGCCACCCACCGTCGACGCCGTCATTAAATTAATGAAATTATGGACTCTGGAAAAATCCAGGTCGAGAACTCCAGTTCCCGCAACTTGGAACAAGGTCCCGGTCCAGTGGAGTGGACCCAGAGACCGTCCCACAGGGCCAGCACCAGCCTGAGGGTGGGGCAGAGTGCACCCAGCCTCAGCTATGGCAGCCCTCCTCCTCCTCCAGCCTTCCTCTGCAGCAGCTCCGACAGACCTCCCTCTAGTGCTACTCTACAAGTAGAGTGGACCCAGATACCGTCCCACAGGGCCAGCACCAGCCTGAGGGTGGGGCAGAGTGCACCCAGCCTCAGCTATGGCAGCCTCTGCAGCACCTCCGGTAGACCTCCCTCCAGCGCTACTCTACCAAGCAGCACTTCCACCAGCACTGCTTCTTCAAGCAGCGATTCCTCCAGCTGCTCGAATGAATGAAACAGCTGGGGGAAGAGCTGCCTTTATACCGTGGAAGCAGTCTTGCTCCAGGACTAAGGCTCATCTTGGGCCCGTGATCCTGATGATGGGATCAAGAGCCAAAATTAACTGAGCCTGGTAAGCCCTTTTTTTTTTTTTTTCCCTTTTCTTGCAGCCCGTTCACTTTAAACGAACGGGCACAGGTCACATTCACAGCCAGACACACACACACACACACACACACACACCCTGAACGCACCTAGCCACCACCGCGGCCACATACGTGGCCGTTTCCCCCTCAACCCCTTTATTTTTCCCTTCATGGGGGCAGCATGCCGTTCAAAACGAACGGCCGCCCCCTTAGTCATTTCACAGAGTCGAACTAGAGTCAAGCTCAATAGGGTGTTTTTCTCCCCGTCGATTCTCCCAGGTCTATTCCCTTGCCTGTGCGCCTGTATCTGGCCAAAAGCACCACCCGATTCAGGCGCGTACACTGATAGGAAGAGTTGACGTCGAAAGATTAAAAAGCAACATCGATATGAACATTTGGCTGCCATCAGCCAGAAATCTAAAAAGAATCTAACAATAAAAAAGAACAACCAAAAAAAACTTACCTTCCAAAAGAAATGGCTGCCCGTGAAAAACTGGTGTTGCAGAGGACTCGTTACTTCTGCCACTTCAGTACCCCCCGGCTGGCGGGTGTCACTGATTTCAGCCGTGCAATCTCGATGATTGGGTGGCCAAAATCGGCCGCGCCCAACACTTGGCTGCCCCCAAAGGAGCTATCCCAGTGGGCCGAAATCGGCCTCGCCCAACACTTGGCTGCCCCGAAATCGGTCCCGGTGTCCACGGTGTGTCAGGCTGGCATGTTTACTTACCAGGCTATCTCCTGCTTCTAATAAAGCAAGAGCGGCCCTTCTATATGAAGGGCTTTGTTCCCAGTAGCCCGTCTGCCTGTGGTCGGGCAGACCTTGCCTGCATGCCCCTTTTCCCATTTTTGGCTGCCCGTCCATGGCTCGAACGGTCACCCAATCGGGGAGGTCACAACATCGGCTTCTTGGCCCTCTGTGTCGAGTCGAACCCCGCGGGCCCAGGAAAAAAATAGGCTTCCTATTCTTCCAGCACGCGGACCCATACCCGGCGTGGCCGCTTGTTTTAGCCTATTTAGGCCCTGAATCGCGCGGCTGCTATTTTAGGTGGGATAGGTCTAGCTTTAGCATTCCCACGACCGCGTGCCTCTGCGGCCCTATGGGAAGAGGCTGGTCACACTGCCGGTTACCGCCATTACTCTCAGACGCCACAAGTGTCCGGACTAAGGTTCAGAAAAGTTTGTCTCTCAGTCATAGGTTAGTCTGAATAAACTTTTGTCAAACGGCAGTATTAAGTCCCTCAATACGACGAAGTGGTCGGACAGCGTCCGACATTGGAAAACATGAGCAGATACTCTTGTAAGGGTTTCTTCTCCGACACCGCTTCGTCGTCGGGCAGCGGTTTCCCTTTGGTGGTCTTGTCTTTCTCAATGATGGTGATGGTGCACGGGCGTGGCATGTCCTTGCTCACGTTCGCGATTTCCCTCCCCGAGAATTTGAATGGTTGGTTTCCCGCTCAGCGGGGGCCGACCCTGTCGCCGGGCGCCGGGTGGGCAAGGCTACCGTGCTGTGGGTCGGGCGCGAAAAAGTTTGGCTTCTGCGTTAGCGCTAACCTGGGGTGCTAGCGCGAAAATCTTTTTGGTTCTTCGTTTGTTGTCCTCTTCTCCCTCTCTGCCTGCCAAACAACAATGATAATTAATAATCATGCTAATGCAAACCTTGACGGTAAAACGATGGGAGTTACGTAGGCTCACATGTGGCGTCTTTGTGCTCAACTCTTCCCAGTCTGTTCTGTCTCAGGTAACCATGGTTTCATCTTTGTATCCGCCGTACAACTCGGTGAGAATTTTCAGATTTGGGGAATTTTTTTCACGTGTTGTGAGGAAGGAGGCCTGGTGCTGTGTCAGCCAACTCTGGAGATCTCTATCATAAAGGCAAAAAAAAAAAAAAAGGAAAGGCGGCTCGGTTAGGTCAGTGGTAAATTCCCCGGTCAGGGAGCAATCGATGCCAATCAATGGTATGCCACACATCAAGCACCCATTGGCGACTATTTTTGTTTGTTTTTCCCTTTTCCTTGTTTTTTTTTTTTTTGGTCTCTGCAGATGTGTAAGGGGGGTAGGGTGTGGTTTGGTGGTGAGCAAGGAAGCCCCAGAAAAAAGTTCTGTCTCACTCTGTTGGGCCACAATGAAGGCAGGCATTTTAGCTCTTGTGGAGCTTAGGGGCACCGCGCCCTTTTTTTTTTTACATTCTTTTTTGAACAGGTCTGGCTCCCACTGAGACTGGTGTTTTATTTTGTTCAAAGAATAAGAAGGAAAGCAGGAGGCACATGGGGTATGATGAGCTCTGCTGAGCACAGACCACAGAACAGTAGTTAATTAGTTTGACTGATTTCTTTGCAATCATCACCTTTGCAGGGAAATGTTCTGGCTGCAATATTGACAAACTACAAAGTTGATGTCAATTGGCTTTTTGAGGGTAAGGTGCACCCGTAAAGGATCCCCTTTTTCCTTTTTTTTTTCCTTTTTTTTTTTGGCAGGTGATAGCGTTGTGAAGCTTGTGATACAAATGTGTTGTACCAGGGGAGACAGTGGTGGTGTGTGGATTTGCATAAGGTACACACAATGGGGAGGGAAACAAATGCGGAGGGATGTAGAGGGTTATAGTACCGTGAGACCAATTTATCTGCGGCAGGTTGTACTGCCTCCGATGACTGCCTATTGTGATGATGATGTGGTGACATGAGGAAGACATTGAGAGCATTCTTCTTCTTCTTCTTCTTCTTCTTCGGTTTGTCCAGAATTACCATCACTTAAAAGTTGTGAAGCAGGTCGCAAAAACTCTTTCCAAAATGAAGCTGTGGGCTCACGGGGAAATTGGAGATGATAGGACTGCGACCGTTAGGTTACCTATAGTTAATTATGAAAGGCTCTTCTCCCCCTTCTTCTCCCCCTTCTCCTCCTCCTCCTCCTCCTCCTCCTCCTCCTCCTCCTCCTCCACCTGGGTGATATTGTAGGTTCAAATCCTACTAAGCCTATCTGGATTCTGGGTGTATAGCGTAGTTGGTAGAGCATTGAACTCCTCCTCTCCTTCGTCTTCCTCTTCTCCTCCTCCTCATCCTCTCTTTCGTCCTTCCTGTTCTCCTCCTCCTCTCCTTTGTCCTTCCTCTTCTCCTGCTGCTGCTCCTCCTCCTCCTCCTCGTCCTCCTCTCCTTTGTCCTTCCTCTTCTCCTCCTCCTCCTCCTCCTCCCTTCTCCTCCTCCTCCTCCTCTCCTTCATCCTTCCTCTCCTCCTCCTCCTCCTCCTCCTCCTCTGCTTCTGCTGCTTCAGCCTTCCTCTTCTTTTCCTCCTCCTCCTCCTCCTCCTCTGTTTCTGTTGCTTCTCCCTGCTCCTCCTCTTCCTGCTTCTCTTCCTCCTTCCTCCGTCCTGCTGCTCCTCTTCCTCCTAATCTCCTTCGTCCTTCCTCTGCTGCTTCTGCTTCTGCTTCTGCTGCTTTCTCTGCTACTGCTTCTGCTTCTCCTGCTTCTCCTGCTTCTCCTGCTTCTGCTGCTGCTGCTCCTCCTCCTCCTCCTCTGCTTCTGCTTCTACTGCTTCAGCTTCTGCTTCTACTGCTTCAGCTCCTCCTCCTCCTCCTCCTCCTCCTCTCCTCCTCCCCCGCCTCTGCTTCTGCTCCTCTCCTCCTCCTCCTCTCCTCCTTTTCCTCCTCTGCTTCTGCCCTCCTCCTCCTCTCCATCGTCCTTTCCGTCCTTCCTCCTCCTCCTCCTCTCCTTCGTCCTTCCTCTTCTCCTCCTCCTCTCCTTCACCCTTCCTCTTCTCCTCCTCCTCCTCCTCCTCCTCCTCTGCTTCTGCTGCTTCACCCTTCCTCCTCTCCTCCTCTGTTTCTGTTGCTTCTCCCTGCTCCTCCTCTTCCTGATTCTCTCCCTCCTTCCTCCCTCCTGCTCCTCCTCCTCCTCCTAATCTCCTTCGTCCTTCCTCTGCTGCTTCTTCTTCTGCTTCTGCTGCTTTCGCTGCTGCTGCTTCTGCTTCTCCTGCTTCTGTTTTTCTGCTTCTGTTTTTCTGCTTCTGCTTCTTCTGCTTCTTCTGCTTCTTCTGCTTCTCCTGCTTCTGCTCCTCCTCCTCCTCTCCTTCGTCCTTCCTCTTCTCCTCCTCCTCCTCTCCTTCACCCTTCCTCTTCTCCTCCTCCTCCTCCTCCTCCTCCTCCTCCTCTGCTTCTGCTGCTTCACCCTTCCTCCTCTCCTCCTCCTCTGTTTCTGTTGCTTCTCCGTGCTCCTAGTCTTCCTGCTTCTCTTCCTCCTTCCTCCCTCCTGCTCCTCCTCCTCTTCCTAATGTCGTTCGTGCTTCCTCTGCTGCTTCTTCTTCTGCTTCTGCTGCTTTCTCTGCTGCTGCTTCTGCTTCTCCTGCTTCTGCTTCTTCTGCTTCTCCTGCTTCTGCTTCTTCTGCTTCTCCTGCTTCTCCTGCTTCTGCTCCTCCTCCTCTGCTTCTGCTTCTACTGCTTCTGCTTCTGCTGCTTCTGCTCCTCCTCCTCTGCTTCTGCTTCTACTGCTTCTGCTTCTGCTGCTTCTGCTT